CGTGTGTGTGTGTGTGTCTGTATTTGTGCTTCTCTCTCTCCAGATGCGCAGTCTGTGAAGCCCCTGCCATGGTAATCGCAGTGCACAGTCAGACCATCCAGCTGCCCAGCTGCCCACAGAACTGGGACCCACTGTGGATCGGATACTCCTTCATGATGGTACAGAGCCACTCATTCCACTGCCATACAAACTGCAGGACCAAAATCAAGCAATGTTTACACTTCAAAAAATGAACATGATTAAATAGAGTTTGGGTTCCTGTTATTTTCATGTAAGCTGGTCTGCACCTTGTTACTTTTGGGCTACATTTTACTTCAGTTAATCTACATCAGTTAATATACTGTAGTTCACCCACACATCCTCACACACTCACAGTCTTGAGTATTTAATTAATTCACACACATGCGCACATACACACACCTGTCTCTGTGTGTGTTCATGTATGTGAGTGATCACTGCATATGGAACCTTATGGCACACAGTGAGCCCAAGTTGCAGCGACTTCGGCTCCCAAAGCCTAGAGTGAGGATGCTTAGTATGTCTCCCTGACTCTGCCCCGTACCCCCCCCTCCCTCCCACCTCACAGCACACTAGCGCTGGGGCAGAGGGTTCAGGCCAGGCCCTGGCATCCCCTGGGTCCTGCCTGGAGGAGTTCCGCTCCGCCCCCTTCATCGAATGCCACGGGCGGGGCACCTGCAACTACTATGGCAACTCCTACAGCTTCTGGCTAGCCACAGTAGACGTCTCCGAAATGTTCAGGTATGACAGCGCAAGAGTGCTTTTGAGGATAATATACATTCATGAGTATTACTGTCGTTATTTCATATTTTACAGTATCACCAAGTGACATACTTATTTGGTCTAGTCTTATCGTACTGTGCATGGCATGTACTACACTTGTTATGTGATGAACTAGTCACCACCCCTTTGGATTTAGGTTGCCTGATTATGTGTAGATCGCTGGTTTGAAAGAATTTGCTAATCAAAAAAACAAGTACAGAAGTATTGGAAATTGCCTGTCTGCCCACAGGGGTGGCTAATTGTAAAATAAGTAACCTGGGGAGTGGCGTGGCATTATCCTGCTCTGCTACAGTATGATGACTGACAGCACAGATCACCTTATTCTGTAGGGTTGGATTTCTCACACACAGATTCAAATGTGGCCACTTCTGATTGTCCACACAGCTTTGCCAGAGCTGAATAAAAGCACACACCATACTGTGTTTCAGTTGTCGTGCTGCTGATAGCCAAACAGCACATTTTCCTTAGCTTACAGCCTAGATGCTGCTGTCTCCACCGAGTATTCAGAGACATTCCTTTTTGTTTTATTTTGACTGCTGCGCTTGTAGTTGACTTTGGTAATATGACAAGAATGCATTACGTTTATGGCATAAGCACACCATGCAAGGCTAATCTTTTCTGGATGGAGTTCAAAGGTTTGCACAGATCCACACACATGTAGAATAAGCTTGATTGGTCAATGCAGGTGAAAGATGGCCTGTGGCTTCTTAAACGATTCATGTTTGAAATGCTCACACAGGATTCTAATTTTTGCTTCTACACACGGCTTGACTAGAGTATCATTTCTACACGCTTTTGATGGAGGAGGTTCGCACGCGTGCTCACTTGCAGAGTCTGACCGCCGTGCCCCCTCACCCCACAGGAAGCCCCAGGCGGAGACGCTGAAGGCAGGAAACCTGAGGACGCGCGTCAGCCGCTGCGTGGTGTGCATGAAGAGGACGTAACAGCACAGAAATCCCGTCGCCAGGGACGACAAACCACGACGACGACGAAGAGGGTGTCAGTGATAGGTGGAATTCCAATGGTGCATTTCTTCCCATAAAACTCTAATGGTGCTACTGTGCAACACAGCAAAACTGAAAAAAAGAACAAAAAAAATGAACCGATTTTATTCTTTTTAAAGAAGTACCTCAAAAAAAAGAATCGAAAAGAAAAAAAAAACACGAAACGTGCCATGGCAAATGTGTGAACAAAAAGTGCATTTTATTTTTTCTCTTTCTGAGAGAAGTTTTTTTTTTTCCTCTAGAATATTCCTTTCTTTTCACGTTTTGATGTTGGTAAACATTTTGAGAAAGAAGTGCGCTTTTTTTTTTTTTTTTGAAAAGGAGTGGAATTAAGTCTCCGTGTTACCAAATCGGCACTTTGACTTCTGAACATCACAGAGAGGAGATGCACTGAAGAGCTTCCTTAGTGAGACTGCATTCTTTTTTTATCCTGTCTCTTAGACTCTTTCCGTCACGTGACTTCTCATGGTGGTACTAACACTGCTGTATCCAAGACTCTTAACTATAGGCCTTTCTTCCTCTTTTTTTGTAAGTAATAAAATGTGTATATTGTGTAAAACACCTTTTTAGTGTAAAACATAAAACGGTACTCTACTAGGAATTGCTGGGTTCTGTTGGTTCACTCACTCACTCTTTCACTCACACACTCACTCACTCACACACCAACTCACTCATATTGTACAAAGTAAGCGTTCTATAAATGAAACAGTATTTTATATATAAATATATATGAATATATATATTAAAAATGAAACATTTTTATAAACTTTATTTGGCTGTGGGAGGTTTTTCACAACTTTTTTTTTTCTCACCGTAAGAAACAAATAACATTTTGCAACCTACTGAATTTTTATGTTGAATTAAACATTTTTTTCCCTTGTCAAAGACTTGTGATGATCTATTGTACCATAATGACATTTGATCTGGTTTTTAGTATATTTTATTCCATTTTACCAATGTGATTTTTAAGGGTATAGATCTCTCTTAAATGGAAACATGAGCAGCCATAATACAAACCCATGAATGTTATATGTACATTTTGCCTCCACTGGTCTTGCTAACCATGTCTGATGATGGTACATACACATGGTGAGCAAGACCACAAAGAGCAGATAAATTCCTATGAAAACAAAAAACTGGCCTTTTGTAAAAATCCAGCTATCAAAGGGTCATCTATGTGTATTAATTTTAAAATCTGTTGTTTTTTTTCATGTTTATTATCCAGAAGTTGTCATCAACTTTAAAGACTGAAATAAAAGAAATACAAAGTTAATCGCTGTCTGTGTTAACAAGCATGCTGCGCTCTGAGTGACCTGTGAGGTGCACAAGAGGAGCTTATTTTACTGTTTTGAGATAAATTCAATTAACACTAATTAACAATGCTTTTGTGCTACAAACAAATACCGTAGATTTGCATCATTTGCAGTGCTTTTTAATCAGTGTAATGTACGAAGAGTTCACGCAATAAAGCTGGTGAAAGTCCAAGGCAGTTGGTCCGGGGGTAAAATTGAGTTCACAGTCACTGAAGCTTAGCAGGGAAGGTCCACGTGGGCAACACCAGGAGTCTAAAGGCTGTTCGCGTGTACCTTCCCTGACCAATACACTCACGGGGGCCACTGTGTGTACGGTGGCAGGTCAGATGGGTTGTTTTTTTGGGAAGCAGTTCTCCTGGAACTGTAGAGGCCCACAGTGTGAAACACGTTTGTGTTTCACACTGCATTTGTGTTTTAAATGCATGTGTGTTTTAAACAGTGACACAAGCTGCACTGTTGTGATTGTGAGATGGTGCACTTGGATTTCTTTCAGATAGGCTGGTGTGTAGCATTTCCTGCTCGGAAATGTGGAAGTCATACACAGGTAAGTGCTATCATTCGGGTTGATTCGCTTTTCCCTTTCTGCTAATAAACCCACATGAATGTTTACCCAAAGAAGCAGCATTGTTTTGCTGGGGAACTGCACAATTAATTTTTCCCCCACAGCCCTAAACATTTGTTTTGCCATTAAATTTGACATTCTTATTTTTCACACTTTTTCTTATGAGATAATGAATTATCTCATAATGCATTATGATGCATCATAATGCATCAAGGGGGACAAAACAGCAGACTTGGAATAAAGGCCTTACGTACTGTGAGAAGGTAGGTTCTCAGAATTCCTTACATTCCTCACTCATCACCCTCCAGTGAAGCTCTTTTGTGTGATTAATTTTTCTGAGAAAAGATCACACACCAAAACCACACCAAATATTTCTCTCATGCAGCTGGCATACAGTGACCTCCATATTTATTATAACCCCTGACTAAATAAGGAACAAACATGGTATAAAAGGGAAAAAATGCAGAAGGATCACATTTATTCACACGCCTGTAGTTAGTATTTTGTAAATCCTCTGCTGGCATGAATTACACTGACAAAATACCTCCTGTAGTGTTTTATGAGGTTCTGACAATTCTGAGTGGAATTTTGACCATTAACTCTGGCAGACTTGCTCTAGGTCCTTCAAGTCTTTTGGTTCTGTTTTGTTTTGAATCATTTCTGTTTGTGAACAGCTTCCTTGAGTTCAAACCACAGCTAGTGTTTGATTAGATTGAGATCTGGAGATTGAGACAATCAGCGGAGATCATTTATTTTATGCTCAGTTAACCATTTGCTTGTACACCTGAATGAATGCTTTAGATCATTGCCGTTGTCATTGTCATGTCCATTTCCATCCAAGTTTCAGCTTCTTGGCAGAAGGAAGTACGTTCTTCACAATCCAGCCATGGATGCAACATGCATGCAGCTTTGAATGGTTCTTTTTGACACTTTGAAAACTGAAAAGGCATTTCTCCAACTTTGGCGCTTGAATTTATGGTTGCCTCCCGAACCACTTCTCTCACAGCCCATGGCAGAGAGCTACATGCATCCTTTTCCTGGCCGGGTCTGCCAATGTACCAACAGCCTGAAATTTATCAATAACAGAACTACAGTGGAAAGTGGTAAATTCATCTTTTTGTTAATATATGTATGATCATCCTCGAACTTGAGGTCAGTGATTATTTGCCCTCAGAGAATTTTCTGATCTCCATTTAGCAGACACTGTTATCCAGAACAACTTATATAGGTTACAGTTTTACACATTATCCATTTATATAGCTGGATGTTTATTTAGGCATTTCTTTGGGTTAAGTACCTTGTCTAGGAGTACAATAGCAGTGCCTTAGCAGGGAATCAAACCACCAACCTTTCGGTTATGAGCCCTACTCACTACCACTATACCACACCGCCAATCTTAACCATGCGAATGCATGCTACTGATATGCATTGCCTCCTTTTATATTTATATTTATAGGATAACAGAAGCCTCTATATTGTATGAAAAACTTCCACTGAATTTCCATTGAGCAGAATGTTGGTATAGATTTATTTAATTGGATTGTTCTACTTGTGAATAATTGTGACCCAGGTTTTCTGGACTAAAATTCATTTTTTAAACTTATGAGCCTGAGTTTGCTCTGTTCAAAGCTGCAAAGGTCAAAATATAACATTCTGAAGAAATATTTAAGCAGGGAAAATGATCCAATATTGACAGTTTTTCTCTATAACGTATAATGTTGCTCTGTATAATGACAGTATTTCTTTGTTCTTGTGTAGTATCCATCATAAAGCAAAGTAGCCTTTTGAAATGTTTTGTGCAAATGAACACATCATTTTAATAGTGGAGATAAATGTCCTGTACAATTATTATAATGACCTATAAAAAATGTGTTCATGGTACTTTTGTTGCTTTATATTAATAAAACTTTTGCTGCTTGAGGTGAACGAAAATAAATATATAGCCCTAATGGAAAGGGTTTATGTTACAGTAAACTAGCACAGATGAAAGAAATGTTGCGATTTTGCTATTGTGCTTGTAGTAGATTGCACTATTCATAAAGTACCACTAGGGGGAGCAGTGTATCTGTAAATTTACTCACTTATTCCAAAACAAGCTGCAAACCTCTTACATGCAGTTAAATTTGACAGGTATGCAAACGTATCTTTGTGCTTAACCACAAATGACACTACATAAAACACCTACTAAAAAGTTAAAATGGGACTCCATTTAAATAGCTTTTCTTGATGTCACACTGTGCTATACTTTATATACAGTAACAAGGTCTACAGGGACATTGTTACCTTGAATAGGTTCATTACAACAGAATGTAATATTTAGGGATATCTCTTTGAGGAGCTGCTCACATTAAAAAGTTCAGTTAGAAGGGTTAGTTCTGCATATCTGGTACAGCAGTAGCAACAAACCTGATTTGATTTAAATGTAGTTGATTAAGACCAACCCAGTGAAAATCTGGGAACATCATCTACAAATAACATACTTGGTTTTTTTTTCTCCCACGCAACAGCAGTTAACAGTAAAAATTCTGCTAACCAAAAAAATGGAAAACTGGTGATCGTCAGTAAACTTACTTTTCTGGAGGCAGTTCTTCTCTAAACCAAAAAGGTGAAATGTTTTATTTAGCTTGCTTGTCTTAATGAAAATCCAATGAAATGTTTGAGGTCATACACCAGGTTTACCTGTAAAATGTCATTTGAAGAAAAAAAAAAACAGATGGCTTGGAGTTTCTAGCTGCTATATTAGGAGATGACCTACTGTATACATCTTGAGGGTTTTGAAAGAGTTCCCCTCTCTGGTGTACGTCATGGAGGGGCAAGGGGAAGGGGTTCGCCAGTGCACACAGGGCTTAAATGTTGGTGGTTCCCACAGGTCAGGCATTTTTCAGGTGGGGGGGTGCGAGGTGATGATTTCAGCTGGGTCTGCTGAGGGGACAGCTGCGGGATGAGGAGTGGGGGGCACGGCTCGATGCTGCGATTTGGGACGTTCTGACGCAGGTCTGCCCACGTCACGCTCTCCTTAACTAGCCAGATAGCGCATGTGAGGCGTGCCTTCCAAGGTCACTGTTTTGAAACTTAAGTCAGCTACATATACTACATCCCCAGGGGGCTGCTGGGTAGTTGCTGAATAGGTAATTAAACCCTGCAATCACATGTCAGTTGAAAGCCCACCCCCCCCCCCCCCACCCCCAAACATCTCCCCCACTGCCCAGCACCTCCTCTGCTCCACATCTCCTAATGACGTCTCCTTACAGTACGGCTATTCCTTTTCCCAAAATCTGGGGTCTGACGTATTTGTTCCCTCAAATCATGTTCTGCGGTAACATAGTTTGGAGGGGAGAGAGGTGGGTGTTGCGGGAATGTGGTCATCTAAGTCTTCTTTTATCTTTCACAACCCCATCAAGCCTTACTGATACTGTTACTTCGGTGTGGGGGCAAATGCTTCGTGGATGAAAAAAAACAAGCCTTGTGGTACTCAGTGAGCTTGCTCTCACCTCTCCCTCTCTCCATTACTCTCTGTCTTCAGCCGGCACTGAGCTGCCACCGTTGCGGAGCGATACGAGGAGGGACGAAAACAACAGCTAGTCTGAAAGATGCACCGGCGGCCCCTGCTAGAACGCTGGGTCAGCGGCTCTCCTGCCAGAAAGTGCTCCGGCCTTTTTGTTTGTCTTTGCTCGCGAAGGGCTACCAATCCTTAAACTGTGCTCACGATTCTCTCCACTCCTCCCAGGATCTTCCAGGACTGATCTTCTTAAGCCGTTAATGAAGATCTGACGGGTGTTCAAACATTGTTTAGCCTCAGAGACGGACGCTACTAATTGGGTTAGAGCTGCTGCTGGTGCTTGCCCGCAGTGCCAGCCTCCACACCTCCCAGTTTTGTCCCTCCTCCCCATCTGCACTTGGGGCGTTTACCCCAAGGGATGGAGCTGGCGGATAACCGTTTGGGGTCACATATCTGAGCTGGTATTGGAAACCAGCCTTGGGGGCACGTTCTCCTAAGGGCTGACCTTAATGGGTATTCAATTCAACTGATTGCTAATCAGCCATTGTGTCAGGTGTAACACCTGGAAGGGTTACCGAATGGCGGGGTGAGGTCAGCAGGCAAACGTTGAGCAACGGTCGGCGAATGTCACTGCTGGAGGCCGTGCGGGGCTTTGAATGCTCTCTTCTCTGGACTTCATCTCCCATCAGTGTCTGTGTGAAACATTTAAAAATGTGTTGCACATCGATGCACTGCACCTCAGCCTCTGAGGCGCACAGATTAATAAAAAACTTCCATTAACTTCCATGAATCCCCCCCCCCTCCAGCCCGCTAGTGCTGTAGTCCCTGGGATCTGGCCCCTTGTTGTTGTGGTTCCATGCAAACTGAATCAATGGATTCTTATCAGCAGGCTATTTTTTTCTGATGTGTCATCTTTGTGTGCTCTGAACTATTGTTTACCCTAGTTTCCTGGTTGTGTTTCCGTGGTAGCACCCCAGTGCTGAATGGGAGTACAGCAAGGTGAAAAGGCTTTGGGAAATTCTTGTTTACTTGTTACAACGGCCGTCCCATTAAATTAGCAGGAGGACATGTTAGTGAGGATCCTCAAATAGAAAAATCAACATACTGACGAGGCTCCCATCAGCAGGATGTTGAGAGCTGAAGGGTGCTGCTACAGGTGTTCCTACATGGAAAATCTGTGCCCCCACTCTCATGCGTGCACACACACGTTCATACAGGTTTCCAGATCATAAGCCAGTGTCTAGTCATGATATAATCCAAGGAGGTAAAGCGCTTTGTGTAATCAGACACTATTTTACTTCTCCAAGTGCCTGGTCACTGTTCAAACAGCAGCGGCCAATTCAAAGCCCCAGGCACTGGACTTTACACTGTTTTGTTAGTAAAAGCCAGTTTTCCCCCAAAAGAACTTTGTCCCCTAGTTTCAGTTCTCTCTCTCTCTCTACATTTTATATATACACACACACACACACACACACACACTTTCTTTTCATCTACAACTAGTAAGGTGTTTGCAAATATGCACACACACTCTTACATGCCGTCCACACTAACAAGTGATTTTGTTTTTTAAAGAAAATACAGTCACATTCCACAGTAGTCACAATAAACAAGGCATGTAGATACATTAACACATTTTATTGCAATAGCTCTATTGAAAGCAAAAAAATGTCAGATAAATATAAACACTATACAACCCTCAAATTTCTCAGCTACAGTATAACCCCCATTCCCTCCAGAAAAGAAAAAAACTCAAACGAAAGAAAACGCCACGGGGCGCAATTAACAAGTAAAACAATGCGACAGTATTTACAGTGGAAGACGCAGCCAAGTACAGTGTGATTTGTATTTGTCATTTTTATCTGTTCTTCCAACGTACGCTGAAGTAATAACGCACATAAGGGGGGTACACCTCCACGGTTTAACTCATCTGCTCTAAAAAACTCAAACAACAGCATTCATTTATGAAATCAATCACAGGTAGCATGGCCATGACATCCCATCATTGTCGCAGCCATCGTCAGCATCAATTTTTATGTGTACTACACAGCAGCAAATAAAGTGTAATAGGTACAAAACAGTAGGCGGATGTTTACAAAACTGCAAAATGTCTACATTTTTTTTCCGAGAAATTATGTTCCCCCTCGTTTTCTATTTGAAAATTGCCAGATATTCAATAATTACACCAATCCAACACAATACCAAACTAAGATTCCCGCTCTGTAAACTAGTTACAAAATAAAAATAAGTTGCATATTTATGCTGTACCAGTAAGCCTCTGCAGATATTAAGAGGTTATAATTAGGCTACTTTACCATTCATTTAAACTGGGAGTATCACTTGAAAATAATTATGGCAAAGTCATTAACAAATCCTGACAGTATGCAGGATATTAGCAAATTCAAACAATTTGCTGGGCAAAACCCCTTTTAATAAAAATGAAAATTGATTAAACTGATCAGAGTGAATCCTTTATCCCCCAAATAAACTGAAATCCATCGCCAATGTAAATCTCTTTGTGGTCAATTAAACAACATAGCGAAAAACAATAGCCAATAAACAATTAATTATATTGGCAACAGCCAATAAAAAATTAGTATTTATTTAGTCATGAAGTCTTTGATCTTCATTTCATTTTTGATAAAAAAAAAAAGTTCTCTACTAAATATAACAAAATGGAACTGTTAATTTTTGAAATTCTATCGTTTTCTTAGACGTCGCTATCGCTTTTCGCTTTTGTTGTTTCCCAAGACCTCGGGTTGCAATGCAACATTTTTTTAAAAGGCGGGGGGGCAAATGGTGTTCACTGTAAACTATTTGTCTAAACAATGTCATCTTTCTGTGCCAAAGAATTTACTGTCATTGTCAATACTGAAGTGCACAAGCACTGTGAACT